TCTCTATATAGGTATGTATATGTGTGCACATACATATATGTATGTTGTTGTTTGTCCTTCATTTTGGAAGAAAGCCAAGGACATCATGAGGGTCATGTCTTGACTTTTTTGTGAAATGGATTTAAGTGAGGCAGAGTTGTACAAAGTCATCAGCCTCACTCTCTTCCAGAGTCATCGAAGTCATAAGTTAAGAAGACTGTCAATGGCCCTGGATATAGCGGATGACCTTGGTGTTTTTGATGTCTGTCTAAGCTCTAAGCACTTCACAGTTACTGCTTTAACTGCCTTCATGACCATTGGAACAAATTGTTCTTACCACCCATTTCACTGGGGGAAGTCTTCACATACTTTGGGTAGACATCCCCCTATTTTACACCAATGGGTTTGAGATGTGTCAGTTACCTTCATCTACTGAGATGGTTTTACCAGGGGGTAGCCACTGCTCATGCTATAGCTTCCTGGAGTCACAGGTGAGGGTTGAGTAACAGGTGAACACCAAAGGTGGATGAGCAGCCCTGAAAAGGGTTCAGCAAGCTCTCATACCAGTGGTGTTAGTCCTCCCTGAACACCCCATCCACCCTTGTGTGTATGTATGTATATATGTATGTATGTATGTATTATCTAAGTATGTATATCCCAGACAAGTCCCAACTTGTAACCAGTAGATGATGCTGTCAAACACGCTTGTCTGTATAGATGAATGACTCCTCTTAATAGCTCCCACCTTTGGAATGTAGGAATGTTTATTCTTTCCCCAGCTCTTCCCCTTAGCTGGCTTAGTCAAGAACTCCATTTCTCTCCTCACTTTGGATACGCTAACTTCAAAAGAAAAGGGACAATGAGGGAAGTGAACTTGGCTGAGAAAAGCATTCACTTACTTTCCCAGTTTTCTTACACTATCTAAGTCTGTTTCTTAGACACTACAGACTTAATGTAGGGAATGGTCCCAATAAAGAGTAGTGCCTGCTATGTCCTGTACTAAGCATGCTAGGACTACAAGAATATTATACCTTAAGCCCTGCTCTCAAGGAGCTTACAATCCAATATGGCGGGATGGGTTGAAGATGATAAGACACAACTATGATATATTCAAAAGAAAGATAAATGAAAAGGAGAGATTTAGACAAAGGTCTATGAGACATTTGAATATGGAAGATATCTATCTGTTGGCAAATTGAAATTCTTAAAGAACAGGTCTAACCCTGCAGCTTCGAGATCAATGGCTCCCCCACCCACTTGGGGATAAAGTACAAACCCTTCTGTTTGGTATTTAAAGTTTTTGCCTGTTACGCATGACTTTCCTTCATGTACTCTATGTTCTAGAGAAGCTAGCTTACTTCTCTCTTCCCTAAACATGAACTTCCATCGCCTAACTCCGTGTCCTCCTACAAACTCTCCCCTCTTCTTGGAATGAATTGCCTCTTCACCTCCATCACACAAACACCTACTTTTCTTCAAGCCTCAAGCTCAAGTGCACGTTCTACATCCTCATAATGCTCTCTCCCCAAAAAACTGCTTCTTATTTACTTTTGTCAAAGAAAAAAAAATGATACCAATACTGTACTCTGTGATTCAGGCTAGAGTTTGCCAGAAACAATTTTATTTAACGTTAATCTTTATCCAAGCCATTACTAGCTTGAAAGGAGAGATATTCAAACTTGCAAGGTTTTTCACGTTCTCTGACCTGATTTTCTGCCCCAAGAGGCTTTCAGGTAATACTTGTAGGAATCTTAAAAAAGGAAAAGTGTACAATATATTAGAATAAAGTTTTGGGTTAACATTCCAAAATAATCAAGACTCAGTTCCTTCCTAGATCTCTCCCCTTTAGGATTAAAAAGAGCTCCTTTCCATTATAATGTTGGATGCATAAAAGGACACCATTGCCCAGCCCTCAGGTTGGTAGCAATCCAAATCACTTCTGGTAGAAGGGAAGAAATGATCTTATCTAGTCTAGAGTTAAATTGGGTTATGTACATTAATCCATTTCTCTAAGAATGGTCTTAGCTTTTTTTCTATGTACTTCTCTAAAGGGAAAAGTCTGGTAAGAGTTTTAAGCTGGAGGAAATATTTCTTAATATTTCTAAAGAAACTAAAATGGAGGTTTTTTAATATGCTTCCACACTTTCTACATATTTTTACTTCTCGGTATCCATGTTGCTTCCACCAAACGCAATGGAAGCACCTTGACAATAAGGATTTTCTCTTTGTCTTTGTATCCTAGCACTGCCCTTTACATAGACGATTAATAAGTGTTAATTAAATAAATGAATGAACAAGCTGATCTCTGCTACCATCTGCTGGTCTTCAGCAATAATGCAGCTGCTAAAATCTCAGTTCCCCAAAACGCAGTACCTTAGCTTATTTTATCTTTGAGGATACCTAACATACTCTCTGGCACATAGCAGGTACTTAATAAATATGGTCAGTTCAGCTATAATATGCTCCTCAAAAGTACTAAGCTATTGACGAATAAAAATCACAATGCTTATGGGGAAAATGGGGTTAAGGAGATACCATTCAAAGACTTTGTTAGTGCCACATTAAAAAAAAAAAAAGACAAGAATCTAATTACAAACAGTAGCAGAGTTTTATACCTGTTAAATAGTTAAGAAATACATAAATACTATAGTAAATAGTGGTGGTGACTCTGGCCTCAGACTTCTTGGGCAAGTACCATGGATTTCACTGGGTCCTGGCTGGTAAGTTGATGACTATGGCCTTGATGGAAGGTAGCAGGCTACATGGGTGCAGAGCAGCCTTCCTCTGCTCTTACTGTATGAGAAGCTATAGAATAAATGTGGCACTTTAACAAAGACCTGAAGTTGCTTGTGAAAGTAGGATGTAGCTTATTGTCCTCTTGTATCTCTGGGGGAAATCTCAAATCTCAAATGAAAATTATGAATGTTATGCTTAGATTGTTCTGTTACATATACATCTCTTCGGAACAAATTCATGTTTTCAAAACAAAGCCAAAACAGATCTGATCACACTTGTTGATTGATTTCTGGGTTAAAAGAAACCCATACAGAAAGAAAAGTGGAGACATACCCTATGCTCAAGGAAACTCATTCAAATGAAGGAGATAACAGGTGTAGGTCATCTGATGGAAAGGTCCGATGGTCCTTAGGATGCATTTATTAAACAGACAGCAAGGCATCTTCTTTAAAGTAATTTCCACTGATAAAATAGCTAGCTTTCATATAACATCTTAAAGTTTGCAAAGTGTTTTCAATATGTTATCTCATTTGTACAATGATCCTGTGAGTTCAGTGCTATTATTCCATTTTTTACAGATGAGAAAACTGAGGCTAGAGAAACTGAAGGCCACAGAGCTCCAGCTATGAAAACAGTAATCAAATCAACACTACCATTCCTGAAAAGGACCTGTAATTGAAGCCCTATGGCTACAGACACTATCCCAACGACTTCTCAGTCCAAAATACCCCTCCCTGGATACCATTCCCTGATATGTGTTGTCTTCTATTAGAATGTAAATTCCTTGAGAGGAGAGATGGTAGTAATAGTGGTATAGTTATCCCTTCCACATGGAGGGGATTAGGGATTGGGTCCCCCTCCTCATCCCACTTTTTACCAGAGAAGAAGTCTGAATTAATAATTCAGTCTGAATTCAGAAGTCTGAACTAATAATGGTACTAAAAGATAAAATATTTGATATATAATACTATACATATATTTTATGTATTTCTGAGCTTCTAAACTTTTTGTGTGTCATCTGTACCTTCTGAAAAACTCTAAAAAAATTCCCACTTAATTTCTTATGCCAACCCAGGATATATCAAAACCCCAGATGGGCAAAGTTGCTATGTGGAAGGCATAACTGTATTTTTATCCTCTATGCTTAGCACGGTGGCTGGCACATGGTAAGAGCATAAATGCCTTTTCATTCATTCATTTAATAACAAGCATTTATTAGTTTACTACGTGCCAGGTACCATGCTAGGTGCTGGTGAAACAAAGAAAGGCAAAAACAGTCTCTCAAAGAGTTCACAGTCTAGTGGAGTGGGGGGGAGAAAAGGAGAACGTTTAAATAACTATGTGCAGACAAAATGCATGTGGGATAAACTGGAGATGATCTCAGAGAAAAGTCTCTAGCATTCAGTATCTCATAGAGTGCACAGTCTAGTGGAGGCGACAGGATGCAAACAACTATATACAAACAAAATATTTGCAGGCTAAATCGGAAATAATCCCAGAGGAAAGCCTTTAGCATCCAGGCTTTCATAAGCCTGGAGTTCTGTGCACTCCACAGTCTAACGGAAAAGAGAGGATGTAAATTATGCAAACAAGATATATCCAAGATAAATTGGATATAATCTCAGAGGAAAGCCTCCAGCAGCCAGGTTCTCAGAGAGCTCACAGTCTAATGGCAGAATTAGTGGAGGGGAACAACATGTAAGCAACTGTGTACAAACAAGATATATTCAAGATAATTTGTAGATAATCTCAGAGCATTAGGGGGGATTGGGAAAGGCTTCTTGTAGTAGGTGGGATTTTAGCGGAGCCTTGAACGAAGCTGGGAGGCGGAGACGAGAGACAGAACTATACTGTGTTAAAGGAACATAAGGATGCAATTCAGAAATTCAGAAATAAATCGGATTCTATTTATAAACGCGAATTACTGTCTACGGCAACATTTGAACTCGAGTCTGACTCCAAACCCAGATCTATCCATTGCACCACCTTGGTGCCTGCAAAACCGTTTCTCTTTTTGATTTTGAACCATTGGTTAAGGTTAAGGACTGTGGGAAAGCCTGAGAGTCCTGCCTCCTGGGGAGGCTGATAGACTCCAGCAGGAAAGTTCAGCAGCCCCCAGGGAGTGAGCCCGCGGAAAGGAGAAATCGCTTACCTTGGAGCTAGATTGGTCAGGGCTCCGAAGCTGCTCGGGGTTCGATTGCTCTTACCCGGAAGTCGGAAGTGGCACGGGGGCTGTTGGGCCACCGTAAGCACCACCCCCAGAGTGGGCGGGTCCGGGGAGATGCTGGGAGGGGCATCCGGAATCTCTCCGGGTCAGTTCTGCTGCTGCTGCCGACGCCGCCGCCGTCATGGCTGCCTCGGAGCCCAGCTACTCTCGCTTGTCTCTCGAGGATGACTTCAACTACGGCACCAGCGTGGCTTCGGCCAGCGTCCACATCCGAATGGGTACGAGCGGTGGCCCCTGGCGAGGGCCCTGACTGAGCCCGGAGGCGAGGGGGGAAAGGGGAGGGGCCGAGGAGGGCATTCGGGCCTTGGCGGGGGCGCTCTCGGTGCCTCGGTGCCCTCCTTCCCGGCTTCCAGCAAGCCCCAGCCACCGTCCCACCACGTATGGGAATCCTTTCCCACCCCGCCCCCATGCTAGTCCCCGCCCTCTGCTAATTAATTTATCTTGTCTATTTCCTGTCTGAATATAGTTCTTTAGCAAGTTGTCTTCTCCTATTAGACTGTAAGCTCCTTGAGGGCAGGGCTTGACTTTTACCTTTCTTTGTGTACCCTGCGCCCAGCGCTGTGCTGGCACAAGGTAGGCGATTAGTGGATATTGATTAATTGATTTTCGCCGACTGCCCCCCAAGCCAGGAATGCCCTTCCAACTCATCTTTGCTTCTTTCAAGTCCCAGCTAACATCCTACCTTCTATTGGAAGCCTTACCCAACTCCCCACCCCCATTCATTCTGGTGGTTTCCTACTCTTGATTATCTACTGTTTTATTTTGTTTATAGCTTGTATATACACAATTGTTTTCGTGTTGTCTTCTCCAGGGACCTCTTTTTGTATCCCCAGCGCTTAGCAATCAGTCTATCAACAAACATTTATGAAGCACCTACTATGTGCCAGACACTGTGCTACACATGTTTATAATCTATATATGTATGTATATCAGCATATGTGGATGCATACGTACATTCCATGTATAGTTACATTACATGCATGTTTATAATCTATATATTTGTAAGTACATCTTTAGGTGCATACATATACACATGCATATGCATGTATATATGTATGTGTAGGCACTTGCACCTATATATGTATATACATGTGTATATGTGTGCACCTATATATGTATGCATGAACACATATATACATATATGTACGTGTATGTTTGTACACACGTGTATATGCATGAATCTACACTTTTGTACATGTGTGCATGCATGTTTGTGTACATATGGGTTTATATACAGCTACGATTGATAACTATATTTTGAAGTAATTTGTTTCTTTTGTAATTCCATGTATTTTGTGCATTTAAAAACATTATTTAGAGAAGTGCACCTCTAGGTTTCAATTCATCAGAGTGAAGAAAGGGTACATGACCAAAAAGGAAAAAAAAGGATTAAGAACATGGACCTACAGACTAATGTTTTCTTTTGAAAGATGAGGAAACTGAGATGGGAGGGAAAGCTACTTGTTGGATTTCCCCCACTAAGTTATTGGCATAGGTGGGATTTGAACCTTGGTTCCAAGTTTCTAGGTGGTACATTGGGTAGAGTGCTGGGTCTGGAGCTCAAAGCTGGCTAGGGCACTTACTAGTTGTGTGCCTGTTTCCTCATCTGTAAACTGAACTGGAGAAGCAAATGGCAAACTACTCCAGTATCTTTGCCAAGAAAACTCCTAAAGGGGTCATATGACTAAACAACAATACAATTTTCTAAATCCAGGATGATTTCCAGTGCTTTCTCACCCCAAGCAGTGTCAGAAGTAGAATTCGAAGGCAGGTCTTCCTAGCTTTGAGGCCAACTCTCTACCATCTCACACTGCCTGACATAGTTAAATTAATCTCTCAGGAAAGAAGTTCTTATGTTTTCTCCCACCTCGGTATCTCCCGTAATTCCTCTCTAATTAACACAGTTAAATCAGACTTATGAATCATAGTAGTTAAATGGCCCCTTTCCTCAGATAGGTCAGAAAAAGTGAGAAGACTGCCTTGGAAACAGAGATTTGTGTTGTAGCATACTGGGAAATGAAGATGAGGTTGTTGAAGGCTTTAAGTTAAATTTGCTCTATGGTATATTAGTCACGGGATCCTAGTGTTTCTCCTTAACTATTCATGTTCTTCGAAAAGCTGTGGTATATCTGGAACATATTTGCTGATGGAATCTTTCACAGACTCATTTGAATTTTGAAGGTGGGAAGGTTTTGGAGGGGAATGAAAAAATTGCTGATATGTTTGCATGTTGAATTAGTTGAAGACTGAAGGCAAGATTGGGAGGAGAGAGGATTGTGAAATTTTCTTTGAGAGTAGAGGGGCTGTACGATTTTAGTGATAGAAGGAACCTTAAACATCTAGTCAAGTCCTTAAGGAATTTGCCCAAGATCACAGAGTTAAGACCTGGGGCAGAATCAGGATTCCAGCACAGGTCTTTGGGTTCTAAATCAGGTTCCCACTGAACCACCTGCCTCCCCTGTGAGGTGGGTTTGGCATTTGGAAGCTGGAATGGAGAACTATTTTTCTTTTGAAGGCTGCTGAGCTCACTGGAGGCAACTTGAATTAGTGGAAATAGCAGAGGTTCTGGAGTCAGAGGAGAGTTCACATCCTGCCTCTGATGTTTCCTACCCCTGTGACCCTGGGAAGTTATTTAACCTCCCTGGAATTCAGCTTCCTTATGTGTAAAATGAGTTAAATTAAATGGCAACTTCAGTCTTTTCTGTGTCTAGATCTGTGATCTCAATTTAAACTTTCCTCGAGGCATTATTAGGATCATTATTACAAACGTTAATTTTCTTTTCTATAACAGAATTATCAGATACTCTAGGGCTACAAAGGAGAGGCTATCTGAAGGTCCCCTCCGTTACCCTGTGTTTGGTGTTTGTTTATGGCACCAAAATGCCCTCAGGGGCTCCTGGGGAAGGGAAGCAGAGAAGAAATACCAAGTCTTGGAATTTTAGAACTGAAAGGGATCTTAGAGATCATGTCATTTTACAGATTAATACATTGAGGTGTGGAGAGCTTTAATAACGTGGCTAAGGTCAGCAAGCTAATTAGCAGAAGACTTGAGTCTGGATCCTAGAATTTCTAGTCCAAGCCAGTGCTAGCTGCTTCTCAGGTGTGGTAGGTTACTTTACATCTCTGCTGTTGTCAGTGAACTCCCACCTCTGTAGGAGTAGAGAACCCATCACCACTGTTGCGTTCTGAGGACCCTAAGAGATTTCTGTTTGCCCCCATGTCAGCTTTATTTCATTTGCCAGTAACTCTCTCCTTTTCTGATTAGTCAAGATAATATTTGTAAAGTGCTGTGCAAACTTAGTATTTGGTTAGGTTGTCTAGTATTTGCCAGCCACTTTGAATTCCTCCTCTGCTACTGCCACCGTTCATAACTCTGGACACCGACTCATTCTGCTGTCTACCATTCTCTTCCTAATTTATTTTCTTCTTCCCTTGTCTCCTGTCTCCTTTCCCTTTTGTTTCTGCTTTTGTTTTTCTCAGCTTTCAGATAAAGTTTCCTTCTATAATTATCAGCAGTCAATAAGGGCACTCCCTTCTGTCTAGTCCACAGACGGACAATGTATCATGTGTACTCTTCAAGCTTTTGATTCTTTTCCATGTTCAAAGCTCCTTTCTGTGCCATCAAGAGACCTAAAAACCTTTTGACTTTACCTTTCAACTCTGTTCCAGATGCCTGTGTAATTATTGTCCTTGTTTTTCTATTAATCCTAAATAGAGAATCAACTGGAGTTGCTGATGATCTGCCTCATCGATACTCTTCCTATCTGTGTTTTTCCCCCTCTGGTACTGTTCTTCAGCAGATATTTTATTAAGTATCTACTTTGTATGGGGAAGGTATTGCAAAAGACAAGTACTTATGTCCTATTATAAATTGGAAAAATACAATCATTCCAGACAAAGGAGAGATCTAGACAATTAGTGCTCTGGGAAAATTTGGGGAAGTAAGGACACTTTACATTAGGGGAAATGCAGGGAACTAATAAAATAGTCATTGTCCTCCCTCCTCCCCAGGAATATAAGGTTGCTTTTTGTATGTGGTCTTAAGTTGACCTTTTTTTCCTAGAGGACACAGGCTATAGGTTTATAGGAGCATAGATGTAGATCAGAAATTTTACAAATGGCTTTGGAACTCGGATCCTCTATCTCCAGAGTCAGTTACATTCAGGAGAAACATCCATTTCATTTTAGAAAGCTTTCTGGATTTTTGAAAGTTATAATAAAATTCAAGCACTTAGAAATTTATTTCACACGTATTATCTCTGGAAAATCAATTTTCCACATACTAGAAAACTCAGTTTTTTATTTCAATTCACCAAATAGAACAAAAGATTAATAGAAAGGAATACACAGAAACCTGGGAAAATTAAAATTAATTTAAAAAATAAAAAAAAATTAAATTAAGAAAAGAGGCAAGAAACACACACAAAAAGGACAGAGCAGAAGAAGACTACCTCAATTCCTGAGGATACCAGATGATGGGTGTTAGTTGTATTATAAGACCATAGGACAGACATAAGAATCCTTAATGTACTACAAAGTAGAGATGTTATCATATAAAAATTACTTGTCTCACAAATCTCATCTGAAATAAGTAGACTAGCAATAATATCAATTAAACGTCATTTACTTGTCATGTTAGAATACAGAATGGCCTTTTTGAGTATGCTTGGGCTGGTAGAGGTTTCTTAAAGTTGTCTAAAAAACTTAGAAATGATGTTTTTTCCTCTCAAATTTCTCTGAAATAAGGAGAGGCATTTAGAATTGTTCCATTAACTTTAGGTTCGGGCTCAGGGCTCAGTAGCTCCTCAAACATTTGTTGATGATGGTGTTTTTCCCATAGAAAATTCCTTTTAAAATTAGGGACTAGCTTAATTTGTCTCCCAATCCCTTGTCTGCCTGTGTAATTTGCTTTAAGTCGTAAGTAATGCTTTTTACTGTTGGGATTAGCATTGCCATCAGAGAGCAATAAACAGTGGTTTGGTTGTTTTTGTTCTTAATGTGAAAACAAAAATTTTTATTGCTACATATATATTTTAGCATATAACTTTCTAGGCTGTCCTGCTTATTTATGCCTTCTTCTGAACTTCCTTCTGTCCTCATCTATGCATTTTTTAAAAGGCTTCAAAGGCTCTTTTCTCTCTCTCTCTCTTTTTTTTTTTTTTTTGGCAGGGGGGAGACAGTCCTATTAGCTAGCTTGCTTCCCTCTCTCCCTAAAATCTTCCACTTGCTCGTTGGCAAATAAATGAAGGCAAACATAGTCCCTGTAACAGGTAACATAGCCTAACCCAGAAAAACCAAACTATACAATTGCCATGTCCATTTTTGCACCATGAATCTACTACCCCTCCTACAGGAGGTGGTGAGCATGCTTTATCTTCAGGCCTCCGGAGATCATTGCAGTGATCAGTTAAGTCTTTCAGAATTGTTTTTCTTTACCATGTTGTTGCTGTATAAATTGTTGTAGTTCTGCTCATTTTATGTCAGTTCATGAACGCCTTTCGGGTTTCTCTGAAACCTTCCCTTTTGTCTTTTCTTACAACGTCATAATATTCTGCTATTTCATGTACCATAATTTATGAGCAATAAGGAAGGTTGTCAGTTTTTCCTCATCTTCACTGTCAGCTGATTTTGGCAGCATGATTCTTTGCACTGCTGTAACATAAGGGTAAAGCAGATACACTCTACAGAAGATGCTTTGCTAAATAAGCTAAGTCCAGAAAGCCCCAACCCATTCCCACCTGTTAGGTACTCTTTCTCGAAAATAAAATGAGGGAGAATATTTGAAAGCTTTTGAAAGCCAAAAGCTACAAAGCAACATTACAAAGCTGCTTGTATAGCACTTGAAAGTTTACAGACTTTTCACACACATTTTCTCATTTGTGTGTGGTATCCTGAGGGATACAAAGCAGCTACTATTGGTCTGTTTTATAGAGGAAGAAACTGAAGCATATCTTAATGGTGAGCTGAGACTAGAATCCAGGTCCTTTGAATTCGATGGTAGGACAGTGAGCTAGTTTCAGGGGAACAAAAAAGCTAGAAAAGCCCAGCGGTGGAGAGCTAAACAGGTATCTCTCAACTGTCGAATAGAGGTTGAGGTCATGAGTCACAGTCACAATACAGTTAAACCTTCGTTATATACAACCCAGCCTTTGGCTCTGGATCTAGTAGGCAAAAAAAGAAATTCATCGGGGGCTATGAAGCAGGAAACAATAATGTACCCAGCAGTCCAGGGGTAAAGATGTGAAAATTATACCCACGGTGACTGGTTGCTTCCCTGACTAGAAGGAAAGGAGCCCCTAAAGCTGACAAAATCTTCAAAGACTGGATGCTTTGTTTAAAAAAAAAAGTGCCAAAAAGCATGAGAGAAACATCAGAACATGAAAAATACAACAAAAAAGAAAGGAAGGCAAATAGGATAGGGGAGGAGAAAGCGGGATAGCAGCCACAAGCCTCAGTATAGCAGAGCAAAGAACCAGAGAGCCCCAGGCCAACTGACAGCCAGCCACACCCACCTGCCTACTCTGGATGCAAATGGGGAATAATTTTTATGGGTGAAAATGATGACATTCTTGACTCTCAAAGACTTGGGGTTTGGTTTGGTTTGGTTTTTTAAAGCTGAAGCTTCTTGGAGATTTATGTGTCAATTCAAATTTTCTAATCCATTTTGAAATTTGACATTCAAGAATTTGGTCAGTTATAAACTACCAGAGTAATTGGATCAGAACTAATGAAAATACATTTGATGAGATTCAGTTTTCTAAAAGGAAACAAAATTTGTTTTACTCTTCTATATGTATGCTTAGGGAAGTAAAAAATGTATGTTTTTTTTCCACAGGTTTTCTGCGGAAAGTCTACAGCATTGTTTTTCTTCAAGTTCTCTTAACTACTGTGACATCAGCAACTTTTATGTACTTTAATAACATACAGATCTTTATATCTAAAAGGTAAGGTACTAATGCCCTTGAACTATTTTCAGGCTTTTAAAGCATCATCAATAGGGAGTGAAACTATGCTCTATTCCAATCTAAATCCATTTGGAGAGGTTAGCTTGATCCCCTAATACTTTAGAGTTGGGGTTTGTTTTTTTTTGGTTTTTGTTTTTGTTGTTGTTGTTGGTTTTTTTTTTTTTTTTTTTGGCCTAATAATGTTTGCTGCTATGCTAGTGAAAAAAGATTTTTAAAATTGAAATTATTTTTAGTTAGCACCTGAGGAAGATTTTATTTTATAGCTCATAGATTAACCATTAATACTAAATAAAGTGTGAAAGCAATCTAAACTTACTATTAATGTCTAACCCGTCATCACAGAACCAAACTAGAACTTACTGCTAATTTGTACGAGTTGTCTTTTGAAGGGAGGGATAGAATTCAGTTACTCCAGCAGTTGCTTTGATGTATTTGTTTTTATCTTTCTCTAATATTATGATTAAAGAACTGAATAATTTATACTTTTAACCAATAAACAAACATTTATTAAGTATCTGCCATATGCTAGGCACTACGTTAAACATTGTAGATACAAAAAGAGGCCAAAGACAGTCCTTACCCTCAAGGATTTTACAGTCTCCTTAAGGGAGATAACAAGCAAACAAATAAATACAGGATTAATAGGAAGTAATTAAAAGAGAGACAGTAGTAGAATTAAGAGGGGTTGGGAAAGACTTCCTATAGAAGATGGGATTTTAGTTGAGACTTAAAGGAAGCCATGAGGCTGAAATGAGGGAGAACGTTGCAGACATGAGAGAGCCAGAGAAAATGGGAATATCTTGTTCATGGAACATCCAGAAGGATAGTATCAGTGGATCAACAAGTATGTGGCACCGAGTAAGTTGTAAGAAGACTAGAAAGGTAGGAGGGCGCTAGGTTATGAAGGGCTTTGAGTAACGAACAGAACATTTTGTACTTGTTTCTGGAGGCATAGGGAGCCACTGGAGCAGGCCTGCGCTAGAGTTTATTGAGTAGAAGGAAGTGATGTGATCAGACTTGTATTTTAGGAAAAGTTACTGAATGGAGGTTGGATTGGAGTGGGGACAGACCTGAGGCAGGCACACTCACTGCCAGGCTGTTGCATTAATCCACGTATGAGGTGATGAGGGCCTGTACCAGCGAGGTGGTATTGTATTTGAGAGATACTTCGCAAGTGAAATCAACAGGCCCGGGCAACAGATTGGACATGAGGGGTGAGAGAGAGTGAGGAATCCAGCATGACTCCTAAGGTGCAAGCCTGAGGGACTCAGAGGATGATTGTTGACATATAGAGCAGGGCTATTTAAACTTCTTCACTCAAGACCCCTTAAACTGTGGGTTGTGATCCCGTATAAGGCTGTGACCCACAGTTTAAAAAACGCTGCATAGCGTAATGGTGATGTTAGAAGGTGAGGAGGGTTTTGGGGAAAAAATAATGAGTTCAATTTTGGAAATGTTGAGTTTAAGATGTCTTCGGGACATCCAGTTTGAGGTATCTGAAGGGCAGTTGGAGATATAAGATTAGAAGTCAGCAGAGTCTGACGCAAGATAAGGAGATTTGAGAATCATCAGTATAGATATGGCATTTAAATCCATGGGAGCTGATGAGTCGTTATAGCAGGAAAAGAGAAAAGGGCATGGGACAGAACCTGAGGGACACCTGTAGTTAGAGAATGTGATTTGGAAGAGGATCCAGCAAAGGAAACCGAAGGAGATAAGAGGAGGTTCAGGAGAGGGAGCTGCCCCAAACACCTAGGGAGAAGAAAGAGTCAAGGAGGGGAGAGTGCTCCACAGGGTCAAAGGCTGCAGGATTTGGCAGTTAAGAGATCTTTGGTAACTTTGGAGAGAGCAGTTTTGGTGGAATGATGAGGTCAGAAGCCATATTGTAAGGGTTTAAGAGAGTAAGAGTAGAGAAAGTAGAGGTACCTGTTGTGGGTGGCCCTTTCAAGGAGTTTAGCCACAAGGGGCAGAAGACATTTAGGACTGTAGCGAGCAGCAGTGCAAGGATCAAGTAATGGTTTTTGGGGGGATGGGGGAGATTAGGATGTGTGTATAGGTGAAAGGGAAGATGCCAGTAGAAAGGGAGAGGTTGAAAATAAATGAAAGAGTAGGGATGACTGAGGGGGCAGTCTGTTAAAGGAGCAAGGATACAACACCAAGATTTTTCCCAGGATGTCTTCATTTTCCCCTCCCAGAGATCCACCTCATTTTTTGAGACAAAATAAAAAAATTGGAAAAAAATCAGCAAAACTGACTAATACGTTGTAAAAACATGGAAAGATGTGCAGTGCAATGTATCATACTAGTGGACATCTCACCTTTACAAAAGTGGAGTGTGGATGAGAATACCTTCTCATATTTCTTCTTTCAAGTCATCCTTGTTCTTTGTAATTCACTTTTCATTTTTTTAGTGGTTCTTTCTGTTTACATAGTTGTAAATTGTGTATGTTGTTTTTTTGACTGTTTCCTTCATTTTGTCAGTTCACATAGATCTTCCCATGCTTCTCTGTATCCATCACATTCGTCATTTCCTTTAGCCATTCTCCAGTCTATGGGCCAGATGGATCTATTCTTAGGAATTACTTTCGGATAACCATGAATCTCATAGAAGAGGCCCTATAAGTTTTGGGAGTTGAATGTAATAAGCATAATGACATTTGTGTAGTACCTCATCACTGATAAGGAATCCCTCTTCTGTACCCAGGCTATCATCCATAAAAATGGCACAAGTAAAATTAGAAGGGAAACAGTTGCCTGGGGAAAAATCTGATGAAGGTCTCATTTCCAAGATGTGTAAGAAATTGATTCACATTTATAAGAATAAGAGCAATTAATAAATTGTCAAGGGATATGAGCAGGTAGTCCTCAAAAGAATATCCAGTTATCAATAGCCACATGAAAAAATGCTCCAGATCATTAGTAATTAGAGAAATGCAAATTAAAGCAACTCTTCTGTTCTACTGCATACCCATCAAATTGGCAAAAATGACAGAAAGGAAAAATCACAGATGTTGGAAGGGCTTTGGGGTGATGGGTGCATAAATGCAATATTAGGAGATTGTGAATTGCTCTAGTCATTAAAATTGAAACATTCAATACAGTGACAGTTGGGTAGCATGTCACAAGTTTATCTCTGTGCCTAATCTTTCATGGCAGCACAAAAAAGCCTTGACTACAGCCTTAAAGTTCAGACTCTACTCTCCAAGGATGTCAAATTGTTTCACTGAATGCAGTTTTATCTCTTGTGATCTAAGGCTGCAAGAGAGTAAAGGGGAGCCCATTTGCTCTGATTCCTGAACATTTGCAGGTTTTACAATCAGTACTCCCCTGGATAGAAAGGGGGCAAGTCTTTGGTTTTTTTGGTTAAGCTGTGCAAATAAAAAGATTCTTTTCTCAGAAACCGTGTGACTACTAAGAGCACAGTCCTAGGACCTTAGTTTAAATCCGTGTTCTTATTACCCGTATGACCTTCAGTGACTCATTCCAACCCTTTGGGCCTCAATTTCCTTATCTGTATTAGGAAAGGGTGAGATTTACTTGTCTTGAAACATCCCTCCTAGCAACTCTGGATCTGTGGTCCTTTGTTAAGAGTTTGTCATTAGGGTGCAGAAGGTTCTTGAGTAAAGATATTCTTAAATTATAGATGTGTTTAATAACATTTTGATTAATTTGATATAAAATTTCAGTGCTTTTAATTTAAAATATTTTCTTTCTTGTAGCCCTGCATTGATGTTGGTGTCTCTCCTTGGATCTTTGGGTTTGATTCTGGCATTGATGTTATACAGGCATAAACATCCTATTAACTTGTACCTGCTCTTTGGATTTGTGAGTATTTTTGTATCTTTTATTCTTTTGAATAAGTGGTTCAATTTTTAAAAAATTATCTTCTTGTAGTCTATATTTCAAATATACCTTTAGAAGAAAAAAATGAATTCTTTGGTTTCTTTTCTTGGTTCCAGAATTGTTGATATTTTAGTAGGTCACTTTACTTAGTATTTTATGCCCTGTGGGAAAGAACACTGGCCTGGGCATTAAGAGACTGGGCTGTGCAACTGACAAGGTGCATGACAGAGCAATTGAACTCTTCAAGCCTTCAGTTAGGGAGTAGGTCTGTACCATCTCTCAGATTGCCCTTTCAGCTGTATAATTATATCAGTTTGTGAAGGTGGGAATCTTGATCATTCTTACTGCACGTAGATTCAAGCCCAGATTTTTCTGGTTGGCTTTTCAGGGTTCTCCATTTCTCAGTAATTTCTCCTTTTCAGAAATCACTTTGCTGAGATGATGTGCCTTTACAAAAACATGGTTGAGGGGTTGTATATCTCTCATGTGGAGAAAAAAAATGTCTTAAAAATTCATTCTGAGGTGATGGTCAGGAAGGAGTACCAGATAAGATAAAAATATAGATAAAGTCAAGATAAAAATTCATCTGAACAACATACATTGAGTCCTAAGCACTGGATTTAGATTTGCTTTATCCTTTTTTTTCTTTCTCCTTTAGTCTTAGTACAAACCTAAGTTAATTTATCAGATATGAACTGAAAAATTGTTTAAGTATCCTATCCATGGGAAGTAAGGTGGTATACAGTGGAAAAAGGACTGACTCTGGAATCATAGGACATGGGTTCAGATCCTGCTTTGGAAATTTACTCCCTGTGTGACCTTGGGCAAGTCTTTTGTAACCTTCCTGGGCCTTAATTTTCTCATTTATAAAAATAATAGTAAAGGAAGGGAATAAGCAATGTTATATAAGTACACCTCAAAACTTACACATTGATATGCATATTTAAGATACTATTAAAAAGTCACCAGTTTACAAAGAAGTTGTGCTCCACAAATAAGCTCAGTCAACTGTTTTGAGACTCCAAATTCATTTTCCACAAAAACCAGTGGTGTAATAATTGGTGTATAAAGGGTGTAAAGAATTTTGGACTCAAAAATTAGAAGGCTGCTGTCCAAGTGATCTGCCACTTACTAGCTGTGTGGTCTTGGCTAAGTCACTTCTCTGTACCTCAGTTTTCTCATCTATTTAAAAAAAAAAAGAGCTTGGACTAAATTATCCTGAAGGGCCCTTCCCCTCCAGGGATAGTGGATAGAGCACTAGGCCTGGAGTCAGTTAGACTGAGTTCAATCTATCCTCAGACACCCAGTAGCTCAGTGACCCTGGACAAGTCACTTAATCAGTTTGTCTCAATTTCCTTATCTATAAAATCATCTGTTGCCATAAGTAGCATTGGAATCATGGTATCCAGTCACTATTTCAATTTAATTGTTACTCCCAGCCATCTGAGGTAGCCATCTTCCTCATAACAGAAAGTGGTAACGTTATCTTTGGCTCTGTGTCTATTAGTTGTACTCGACCACTGACCCTATCCTGGAGTCCAGGAGCACCCCCTTTAGCAAGAGGATGTTCCAAGGTTTACTATGACTTTAATTTCTGGCTAGAGCTTTTATGAGGAGTATTTTTTCCATGAGGTACAATGGCTAATGTCACAAGAAGATAAAGGAAAAAAGGAAGGTATAAATTAAAGGGAAGGAGAAAGCAGAGGTATACCATATAAATTTTTTTAGTGTATGTTGTGTTTCCCCATTTTTATGCAAATTACCTAAAGTTAATCAGTGACTTAACTAGAATTAGAATTTAAATCTCTTTTAGTCTGATGATCTTCTGTTTTCAGGATCGTGGACATAACAAAACAATACCTTTTCAGGTTCCTTGAAGCCTAGTCTTAGAATAAATGAGACCAAAAGTTCTTTGAATTCCTTACCAAGCAATATTTCAGCAAACTAGATAAACTTTGCATGCATTTGTGTAATTCACAAATTTTTATTTTTCAGACACTTTTGGAATCTTTGACTGTTGGTATAGCAGGTAAACCGTAATTATTTTATACAATATTGAAGGAATCTTTTCAGTAGTAACAAATTCTCAGGTTAAAAGGGGGGGAACTCTTGGCTAAACTTTAGCATTTTCTGTATCGATGTTTAATAAACACTTGGTAAAGCAAAACATGCCAGAATATAATGAATCAAAGGCTAATCATGCACTTGAAACAGCAAATTTGATTTACCTCGAAGCTGTGAAGAACATAAGGAAATCCAAGGGATCAGAGTATTTCCACATCTGTGAAATTAAGGTAATTCCTACCTATCCCTCAAACTGTTAGAAGGCTGTTAGGAAGACAAACAACATAATGATTTTAATCTCAGACTTTATGTTTTTCACAACATTAAAAAAAAAAAACCAAACCCATAGCATTTCATGGTAGTAGTGGCTTGAGGAATAAGTTTTGTTTTAAGACCATAGAAATTAGATGATTGCAGAAAATTAAGGGGTATACCGGAGGTGGGGATAATGAAAGCACTTTCGAGAGAAAACAGGTTTCTTTTGAATTTTCTTTTTTTTTCCCACTGTTATTAATAAGTAACAAGTGACAGGCTTCCATTTCACTTCCTTTACTCCTTGATGACTATACAAATTAGTAGAGAAATGACCAAAAGTCATCTAATTGAAAAAGACCAAAGTGCAAACATGGATAATTAATCCCTGAATAACTGACAATTAACTTTTTATGTTTTTTGGTGCAGAACATTTCATTTCATATTAAACTATTATTCCTCTGTTACAACATCATTCAGTCCCGATAGTTTCTGTGCGTACACAGTGGTACCTGTGCAGGATAGGGAGCCTCTTTATCATTTTGGCTGTCATTTGACAAGTGCAAAATGGAGCATGGAGGGGTGGGGGGCAGTGGAGCTTTTCTTTCTGTTAAATACCAGGTAGGCCTATTCTGTAGTTGGTATATTTCATGTACATTGTTCAATGAACAAATCAATGTTTTTATTTTACAGTGACATTCTATGATGTGTATGTTGTTCTACAAGCTTTTATGTTGACTACTGCAGTATTTTTCGGTTTGACTGTATACACTTTACAATCCAAGAGAGATTTCAGCAAATTTGGAGCGGGGTAGGTTTTGTTCTCAACTATAAAATATATGCTTTTTTCTTTCTTTCTTGTTATTGCAGTCTGTAAGCGATAGTGGGAAACATATTTGAATTTTTTTTGCTGAAAGCTCTGGCTGTTTCCTACCAATAGAGGAAAGCATTATCAGGGGGATAATGTACTTTTATGTTTGAAGGTCAGGCCCTGTTTTTCCAGAGTAGAGTGTGGCAGAAAATGACATTAAAGAATTTGCCCTGATTCTGCTGGCTGGGTAGAGACTAGAGGTAAAATGGAAGGAAGTACTTTTGATCTTTGAGTTTCTGTTTTTCTTTTTAGAGGAAAGTTGGAGGTCTGGAAAGTTTTGTTTGCTAAGGGTAATCAGCTTTAGTAGAAGGCTGGACAAAACACAAAAGCAATGAGACCAACCACAGGATTTCTGTTAATGATACAGAAAACAAGTTAGTTAACCTAGTTGGTTAGCAAATTACCCAGCTAATTGTTGAGGCGTCCCTAAACTTTAATCCAGCTCCATTAACTAGCTTGCTTCTTTATGAGATTAAACCAAAATAGGAAGAAAAAAAAAACTTCTCACTATTCCTTATTATGTTTCATCACCATTTAGAACAATGGGCTTAACTCAGTTTTTGGTAAGGCATTTTATTCCATTGAAAGATTCAGTACTTTGTGCCAATTGGGTGAGTAGGCATTTCCCTGCTTTGACTTTGCTGGGAAAGCTGCTTATGTAGTTTTCAGTTGAATGTAGTTTGATTTGATTCTTATCTAAAGTATCCCCTTGTACTTTGCCAGGCCATCACCACCCTATTCTGGCTACTTTCCCTTTTCTTCCTCATCTTAACTGTTTAGTGAACTATTTTAACTCTATACTATCCTTAAACTCTCAGATCTCTTGCTCCTTTGTCCAACTTTATCTTTGACCAACCCTAGCCCCGAATTAATTCCACCATCTTTTATCTTTGGAAGCCTGGGGAAGGCACTCAGCTATGTTCACTGGGTACACCACAAATTTATAATTGCCTGGCTTATAAAAGGCACTTAGTAAGTACTTGTTGGTTGATTATTTAATTTCAGTTGGGCCCTCACTGCAACCAGGCAATATTTCTACTCTTTTCTAATTGATTCTCTTTCCTGTTCCAAACTTTTTATTTCACCCTCTCAACTGAAGTCCTTGCTTCAAGTAAGAAAATCAAGACCATTTCCCAAGATTTCCTTCTTTTTCCTACCTTCTCATGTTACAACCTCTGGACATCATTCTCTGCCATTTTCTCCTTTCTTTCAGGCTCTGATAAAGAGATAGTCCCCCTTACCAAAGGTAACCCCTCCTCAGGCTCCCTTGGGCCCAAGTTTTCCTGTCTTCTCTAGCAGATTGCCCTTGCTCTCTAAATGTTCCTCCCTCTCTAATCCTCAGTCTCTCCCTTTCTACTTCTTTCACTACTGTCTATAAGCATGCTGTTAAAAAGGGTGCTATAACAGTACTACCCTCCCAGGGTGATTGTGGGGATAACATGAGATATTTATAGATCACTTTGCAAACCTCAAAAGGCTGTATTATTATCATCATCCTGTGTATTCAGCCCTAGACTCTAGTTCCATTCTTGCAAGCCTCCCATTGAACATATAGCACTGAATGTCCCATAGGCGTCTCAGACTAAATGTGTATAAAATGGAATAGACCTTTCCCCACAAATCTCATCCTTCTACTGAACTTACTTAATACTATCCAGGTCACTTTCCAGTCTCCCAGGTTCACATGGAAGCAGCATCCATGGGAAAGGGGGAATCAAACCTAGAGGATAATGGAGGGAGGCACACAAGTAGTGAACACATACTCATCCTTCTGATACTGCCAGGCTTCAAAGTCCTTTCTCTTTTGCAGAGTCTTCAGGGAACCCCAGTCTCTTGGTCCTTGCTTGGCAGGGCTCCCAGAATCTTTTCCTCTCTGCAGCTCAACATTACATTGCCAGGGCTAGCTTTCTCTTGAGTTCATATCATGTCTTTTTTTGCTGCCACAAGTCATGCATCTTAAAGCTGCCTCCATTTTCAATATCCTTGCAAGTAGTAGGTGTTTACCAAACATGTATTGAATATAAAAAACAGATTTTTAATATTGATATAGGAACCTGGTTTTATATATTTTTAAATGATTCTTTGGCAGAAATCAATTATTTTTAAAATGTGACTGTTGAATCTGGAAGAAAATGAATCCTGGGTATAGAAATCATATTTTGAAAATATAATCTAACCTATTAATGCTTTTATTTTTACAGACTTTTCGCCTTTTTGTTTGTCTTGCTCTTGTCAGGATTCTTGAGGGTAAGTTCTCTTTTCACAGCAAGTCTAAAAATAATTCCTAATAGGTCATTTACAAGTTAATCTTAAGTAGCATGTCATATTAATAAAATGATACATACTACTTATAATAATCTAGAAAACTTCAGTAATTAATAATGCTTTAGTAATCCCTTTAGAAAAATCAAGGCCTAATTTTTTTTGTTTTGTTTTTTTGTTTTTTTTTTTAAGGCAGTTGGGGTTAAGTGACTTGCCCAGGGTCACACAGCTAGTAAGTGTCAAATGTTTAGTCTGAGGCTGTATTTGAACTCAGGTCCTCCTGACTTCAGGGCTGGTGCTCTATCCACTGTGCCACCTAGCTGCTGCTAAGGCCTCATGTTGACCACTACTATTACTATATAACTGGAATAATTTAATTACAGGAAAATAATTTGAGTGATAAATTAGTGAGAAATATGCTAGTTATTAAAATATTAGAATGCGTTATGTTCAATTTCATTAAAGTCTCAATTGAGAATAGTGTGTGAAATTCCTTTCTTTATACAAGAAGCCTGTGGTGTAGTAGATAGAGCACCAGGCCTGGAGTCAGGAAGCCCTCTCTTCAAATCTAGCCTTAGACACTTACTGGCCCTGTGAAAGTCACCTCTGTCTGCCTGCCTTCTCATCTGTAAAATGGGGATAAAAGCATTACTTAATTTGTAGGGTTATTGGGAAGATCAAATGAGTCATTAAGTGCTTTACCAGCCTTACAATGCTATATATAATGTTATCATTATTATTATAGATTGATAATAATTCAACTGAGATAATACAATATTGACATAATTGATTTGTTCTTTAGGTTTCTTGCAAGATCTTTAAAATGGCAAATACAATTTTTGATAACTATAATTTCAAGATATACTTTCATATTAGATATCTGATTTTATCAGTGTGGATATGCTGTCCACTGGTATAGATCTCAAGTCCTCTATAGCTTAGGAGATAGTTTTCAAGAGTGGCTGTAGCCAAAAAACTTCATCATTCTGAGATCTGGTTATGAGCCTATCCAAATTTATCAGATTTTATAATAATTTATCCAAATTAATTGCACTTAACCTCCCAAGGTTGCTGTGTGGATCATATAAGATAATAATATAAAACTCTTAGCACAGTGCCAGGCACATAGTAAGCACTATTTAAATGTTAGTAGTTATTCTTATCAAGGCTAATCCTCACAGGACAAACTTTTACTTTACCAAGGTACTCAAACCCATTTTGGCTTGGTAGGGCCTGCCAGACTTGTACTTTGTTGGCGTAACCTGTAAAACACACACACACACACACACACACACACACACACACACACACACACA